AACGTACCTGGTAAGGAGACATATCAAAGTCGATCTTAACGGGACTTCCTGGTCGGGAATCCGCTGACGACTCATCGACCGTCTGACTCGTCAAGATCAGCTTCGTGAGCTGTTGGATCCTATTGTTCAGGTCCTTCATGGCCTTCGATTCGTCCGTTTTCTGTCAAACAAGATCATCAGCAATGAAAGAAAGAAGGATCAAGGACAATTGAATACCTCTTTCACGGATAGCCTTCGTTTCACAGATGCGGAAGACTGGCGTCGGTCATCGACAGCGGCCTCCTTCTCCATAAGTCTCGCCTTGAGATCTTCAATTTCCTTCCTGTACCGTTCGATGAGCGCATCTGTATCGACAATCTCCTTCTTTTGAGCGTTGAGCTGAAACACGGACATGAACATCGAAAACAGAGCGAAATGATAGCGATCCAAACCTTAACGCCCTTGATGCGTCTCGCAAAGAGAAGGGTGCTCGTGCTCTCTGCAATGGCACTAATATCAGGGTTGATGGTGCAAACGACACTAATGCGAGCGTTCCCAGACAAAGATGGCTGAAGCATCCTGGTAAGTTTCGAGTTCCGGAAGGGAACGTGGTCACTGGGAGCAGGCGAACATCCTGAATGCAGCAGACGAACGGAAAAAGTAGCGACAGAGCGTACCTCTTCCCTTTAGCAACGTTTTCTGATAGGGTTCCAATGACGGTACCAAGAGTCAACAGACTGGAGCCAAAGGTCATCACCAACATATCGAAAGAGAAAATAGGCGACTACAAACCTAGTGTTGATGTATTTCCCTTCTCTTGTACGCTCTTTGTCACTCGTCGCTTTTTCCGAACCAGCGAGATCAATAAGACTCTGCAAAGACCATCATCAGCAAAGATTATAGAGCGAGCAGACGAGATGCTTACCAAAACTGACGTCTGAACGCTCCTTCCGCCTCTGGCTTGCAACTTCGGACCAGGTTTACTGCCAGCTGCAGAACCAGGAGTCTGCCTCCCACTCATACCCGGTGTCTGCCTTCCACTCGGCGCTGGAGTAACACGGCCGTGGAACGACTCCTCTACTGCCTCACCGCGCTCCCTGCTCTCAACGACCAGCCGGAAAACACTGTGGCTCCGACTACTCCTCTCGTTCCAATCCGTACAAGCCGTCCGTCGATGGCTCTCCCCACGCTTCAATACATCCTTGACGCCCTTCAGACTCGTCACGACTTCCTCGCGCAGGGGCGTCAAAATGATTTCGCTTCCTCCTCCGCCTTGGATCATGACAGCCGGACTGCCAACGGGGGCGAGGAGGTCGTGGATAGACTCGTTGTAGATTTCAAGGTAAGAGCAGCGCAGGAGATACTCCCTGCCCTCGTTTCTCTTGATGAAATGGAAGACGTCCTTCATGGCACGGGGAATGATACCGGGCTCACTCTCGTCTCCAGAGAGGGTATACGTCTTGCCGGATGCAGTCTGACCGTATGCGAATATGACAGAGTTGTATCCTTCCATGGCGGCATAGACATGTGACTGTGCGACCGTGCTGTAGATAGGCTTGTTCGGCGAGCCAGTGAGAACCGCGTCGAAGTCGAATTTGTTGTCGGCCGGATTTGGCGCACCAGACTTGGCATGAATGGGATCCAAATGGATGTAACTGGCGCTCGACGACGCGACCCATGCCGAATCCGTATTCGACGGTCGTACCCTGGAACAGAATGAGCCTTGGCATCGACATGAACTGCGAAGAAGACACACCTGATAGAGACCATGACCTTATCCTTCTTCCCATGGTCGGCATTCATCGTCCTCAACCACGCCTCGTCCATCTCGGCAGACACATCCGCCTCGACAGTCTCAGAATCCACCAGGACCGCCTCGGGGTCGACATTGCTGACATCCATCTTGCTCGTCGGGGGTTCCTCGAAGGTCGGCGTCTTGGAGCGCTCGTATGGGGTCTTGGGTCGCGGTGACCCAGGTATGGTCGAGAGGGGCTTGGCATACGACCTCGGTCGCGACTCGGACGACACAGGCGCCTTGTATCGCTTGTGTGTCGAGCCCAAGATATTGCTGGTTCCAGAGGTTCCAGAGCCAGAACGGTTGAGGCGGTTGAGGAGGTCGTTGTTGCTGCTCGACGACGAGATGGAAGATAGGGAGGACGTCGACAGAGGCCTCTTGGCAGGCGTGAACGGTGCTCGGCGAGCCATCTTTGACGACGGCGTGTTCGACACGGACATGGTCATCGTCGTCGCAGAGGAAGAAGGGAAGGGTCGTCGTCGTCGTTGTCGTTGAGAGGGTGTCGATCGTGGGAATGTTGATTGCCATTCATTTGGAACGCGTCTTGTCATGTGACCGCATTCTCGGCCCGATCCTTCTCTCTTCGAACTAAATTGCTGCAACCACGCAATAAGCCTTGGAAAACGCGACGTCCAATTGTCGACTTTGGTACCAGCTGGGTCGGCACATTTGTCACCCTGAAGAATAAAGACTTGAATGCTCTTACGTGCGATTTTCCAGAGCTTCTTGCCAGCTTCTTGAGCGCACATTCACAACGCCGGGAGGGTCCAATGTCGTAACTGTGGCACTTTGCATTGGCATTATCTTACTAAGAGTCCAAGAACAGCGGAAATTGGATCCCTTCCGCAACCTTCAGAGAGTCAAATTTGATGTACGTATCTCGAACCTACATATTCGCGACTCACACGGCCTCCAGCAAATTGAAGATAGTCATCCAAGCGAATTATTATTTAATATCTCAAAAGTGATACATTGAAGCTGCCATCTAACACCCACCCTGGTTCTGGCGTCTTCACCACGCAAATAAATATTTCTGAGTACTTTCGTTTGACTTCCGTTCCAAAACTGTGGAAATCTGGCAATCACTCTTCGGGACGGATATTCCCTCCTCCTTCAGTGAGGATTGACTGCGGACCACCTATCGTACCGCTACGCTCCCGAATTTCCTCTCTTCCGAAGCCGAATTGGAGCAAACTTGAAACGAACCGGCTCGTCAAAGCAGCTCCCGAATCGGAGGATTACCAATCATCGCAAAGAACAAGCTTTTCGATGTATAAGCATCGCCGATGAATGACGAAGGCAATATCCCCGCCACCGGTGAATTGATCCTTTACAATCTTGACAACTTACCTCTCATCGACTTCCAACTCGCATGCTCAAGTCTTCCGATCTTCGACACTCGGGGTTCAACGTTCAACTCCTACAGAAATTTTACAACTCTGTCATTCAGCTGCAATATGATGCAACAATAACAGAGTAAAGGTGCCATCCGAATCTGGATTATTGTCCTTCGATATCGGCAACGTCCTCTTTCGCGTACAACCCCATGGCGATCATCCAAAATTACCCATCACAATAAGAATATTCGTGTCGTATTTATCGGGTCCGTTCAGTTTTGATAACCTTGACCTTCTTCGACGGCGGCAAGTAAACCGTACCCCGACGGTGCGACACCTTCGGAAAGCACCTTCGAAACGAAATTATTCATTCCATAAATAAACACATAGAAATGTACGCCTCATCCGATAGACTCATTGATATGCACTCCACAAATCTGTTGCGCGGGAGAGCGGCGGGAAGAGGTGAACTCAAACTGTGATGCGACTTTTTCGCCTAGAGCACGGACCCAAAATAAGCGGGCGTACATATGAAACGGTTAGTTTCGGCGCACCTGGGTGCCACTGGTGATCTTTGTCACTGCAGTACTTACTAAGTAAGAGAAAGGAAGTAGAAACGTTCACTGCGAACGATGCCAAATCTAGAACCTGCGAACATGAACCATAATTTATAAAAATAATTCGTAACGGTGGTGATCCAACAAATCCATCAGTACCATACTCAATCTAGAATTTCATAGCGGGAGAAGCAGAGATATGATTAAAATGCCGCTTATCTTTGGCGGTGCATCCATGTGGCCCATAGAAATCACCGACGCTATACAGAACAATAACAGCGCGCGCGGATGTGAAACGCCATAGACAATCTTTTTAAACTGCACTACGAGCTGCGGGTCTGTGATATTCTCAGAGTCAAGCCCAAATAGTAGAGTACAGCATAAACAGAAACCTGAAGCGTAGCGTTTCGATTCAATGCAATCGCGACACAAGCACAATGTTAAGGTCTTCTGAAAAACTCGGTCCAGATAATGATTCATCAGAGGAACCGGTCCATAGTTACCGTATACCTCCTTCTCTCATTCCGGAAAGCGAGCCGAAACCACATTCTAGTTCAGTTGGATGTAGACCTGAACAAAAGGTCCAAGGTCCAACATCCTAATCGCAAAAACGTACCGTTCAATGAACCATACCATACTTTTCGGGGCTCGCAAATGCTTGCCAATCCTCTGTATCAACACCATCCAGACGAATTCGGGTCCAGAAAACCATCATCTACTGCATAAGCCCAAGAAGCTCAACTATCACCAAGTCTAATCATTACAAGCAAAGCAAAGCCGAAGACCCGGTCAAAATTCCCCTCTCTGATGATGCGATACTCCCCTTGAGGATATCTCGGTGCAAAACGGCGTTGTCAACACTAAGCATTGTAAGCTCCCATTACCACAACGACCAGCTTTAACCGTGCCCCCGAACCGAATACATCCCCTTGATGCTACAGCGTCTCAGAGTGTCCCCTAGGTTAATAACTCCACCCCGGCTCCAGCGACCTTGCGGCAGACAAAGCAGTACCCCTCCAATCAGCGCAGTATCTTCGTCGAACGCCGACTCACCTCATATGGACGAGTCTAGAGCAGCATTTCGCTTTACCAAAAACCAAACAGACCCGCAGTAAGAGCTTCAATAAAAACAGTTCGCCGCGGAGCAATGAGCAATGACCAGATAAACTTGGTGCAATTGATGACATCTACGTTCATTGTGACCTGTAGCCCAAACGAGTGTGAAAGGTTCGTACGAACTTCCGAGTGCTGTAGTGAACGACTGTAGCGGAGAAGCGTGGGAGGGATAAATTATGTTTGGCCGTATACTTGTAAACACCACTAAATCATAGTGGCAACATGGCCGAGTGGTTAAGGCGCTAGATCCAGGTTATTTAGCCTTCTAGTACGAAAGTGCGTGGGTTCGAGTCCCACTGTTGTCAACGTCTTTTTCAGGCCATCTATTTTTTTTCATTGCTGAATTTTGTGTGAACAGGTTTTTTCGTTCTGCTCTGTGCAGTGTGCGTTGAGCCCCAGGCTCCGCCATGGCATTTCTTTGGTGACCTTGTGGAGAATTTGAGTGTTCTTTAGGCCTGGCCCCTTCGGCGCAGTGGTTACCTCAGTTCTTACAGCTTAGTGAGTATTCCACCCATGGATCTTACTCTGATTCCGAGTCATAGGCGTCGCCAGCTGGAGTTCAATTGAAGCCTCTTGGACGACAAATGGCCATGCAAACTGATGAGATAGACGTCTTACCGTTACGTTCACGCGAGGAACGGAGATCTAGCTGCGACCCCGTCGTCTCTATGCTCCAGTCAAAATGTGACTTCGCCAAGATGTCTTGGTGTATGCCGCAGGTAGCACCATGGTTGTAACTATGCGCACTGCCGGCACTACCATTTAATGCTTATGCATAAACAAAGATATTTCTTTTATTCTTCTAGGTAACCTCCGTCACCTCGCATCACTTTACGCCGTACATGGCCACGAGTAGTAAACGAGTGTAAACATCCATGATGCAGTACTAGCCCACATGCCAATCCTAAGCCTACTCCGCTATTCATTTCTCGAGTTCAGTGATTGATCCTGTCAGCCTGGAGTAACGCGTCTATCTCGCCATTGGTCAACACATATTACCTTTCCCCCAACAATGAATTGTTTCTACACCGCTCCCGCTCCTACCGAGATATCTCAGGGGGTTTCGATGATTCGACAATTGGGTTTGCGGTACGCTGTCAGGTCCCCGTGTGCCAACTGTTATCTGCACCACATTCGCAGGATGCCCCTTTAATATTTGCAGGAAGATGCATCTCTCCGGTGCTGTGTGTCCTGATCGAAGCGGTGATAAGAGGATCCTCGTCCGGAAAAAGCAGTGGATGTATATGGAGTGTTATCGCTCTACAGGAATGCGGCTAAGGAAAAGTACATCATACATGACTCTACACGATTTAAATAATAGTACATCTGATAGTAATACAGATAATGGTGTTTGACAGTAATCCAGGCGTCTAGATGCATATGAATAACACAATGGAGAATCAGCTAGTGATCAGGAAAGAAAGAAAGTAGACCGTTCGGATGGTCTTCCAAAGTGGCCATTTCAACTTGCGAGACCTGCTGGCGAATCACCATCAACTCGTCCCATAGATTCGGAGAGACTTCTTTGTGCTTCCGCAGAAAGAAGCGAATGCGATCCAACCATTCCTTCATAACATGATACCTATTTTCGGCTGCTCCTTCTGTCCAAGAAGGCCCACCGTCCTGGATAGCCAGTAATGAAATCTGTGCCAACCAATAGAACGGAAGAGCATTCTGCGCAAAAGGTGGCTCATCATCACCCTCCTTCTCGTCTTCAGGCTTCATCGCATCTGGACACGACATCCACATACGAAGCCAGTTTGTCAAAGCGTACTGGTTTGCAAACTGACTCCCTCGGCGATCTTCTCTACCGATGGGCTCCGGAGAAGAAGGAGTAGATGAAGTAGACGCCGTATCATTAGAAGCGTCAGGCATCGATTGTGAGAAGTGGATGTTGCGGAGAATCGTATGGATAACAATGAATTGTGAGAATGGATTCAAGGGACTGGCTGATGTCGGAAACCGTATTTCGCCGAGGCTAGTGAGAGCTTGCTGCATTCCTACGCCATACAGTCTAGCCGATCCAATTCCGTACGGCGATGGTTTCTGCAGGAGGTCTACCCATTCAGCGGCAGACTGCGCCTTCCATATCGCATCGTCGCAAGGCAAATTCATGTCAAATTCAGAAGTCTGAAACGATGGGCGCATCGAGAAGAAGACAGAATGACAGCAATCATGGAGATACGAAAGTAATAGCGCACTACACGTGTCGCGCCCGTCAGTACTAGCAGGACTATGCAAATAATATTTGAATTCACCGTTTCACGGTTTCGTGAAGTGCCCATTCCCGCCAAGTTTGTTCCAAAACAAGGGAATCATTCAAATCAGGAACCGTCCAAGTGCGGGAGCGAGAGATGGATTCTGTATGTCGGATCATCTACAGGCCTCGGTCAGAGACGCGATCTCACTAGCAAAAATAGTTGGTCGACCTACCATGACTAACATTCCATGGTAGACATTGGACGAAATTCGGAATTCACGACGTTGGTGGAATAGACCGATGGTTTGGAGCAATACAACTGCCAGTATAAGGAAATCCCGCTCCTTGGGGCTACATGTCGCTTTCGTCTGAGCGCACAATGTATCAGCATCAGAGACATGGTTTGCCAAGACCGAAGCACATACAAATTCATGGATGAGGGCATCCCGCGTTGATGATAAAGTATCCGTAATAAAATTGACGGCCCTGCGCGTTTTGAGGAAGAGCGCTCCGCAGGCTTGCATTGCACGAACCAGGACGGGCGGTTTGTCCTCTATCGCCCACGAAGCCTGGTGTACCACAGGCATTTGTGTACAAAACGCCGAAAAGAATAGATAGACTGAGGGGTGTGTCAGCCATCAAACTATTACGGTATGCCGGTTTGTAAACACCCACGGTACTGTTGATTTTCTGTATCGAGCGGCTGAGCACTGCCAATATGCTCTGTAGACGCAGGAGATGCCGTATAAGGGCCCGGTGAAGGGTTAGAGATAAATGATAACGGGGATCCGTAATCCGACGGCGAAGGAATGGATACGGGGCTGAGGGAAGGCGGCATGAAGGGAAAACAGTCTCCGCTCAATCTGGATGAGTCAAGCCATGAAAATTCAGATGGTGTTGTCATCGCGGGAGTATAGTAGGGGCGTTTATCGAGAAAGTAGTTAAGTGCATCATTGGAGAATAGTTTTTCCATAGGATCATGCATGTCACCACTACCATCAGTAATGGTGACTGCATCTTTGATAACAGTGTCAAAGATATCTGACAAGGAAGAAGAATTGAACGACGTGGACGAGTGAGGCGGGGCCGAGTCGGCCGTTAAGGACAGGGTAGAATTAGGCATAGGGGACATGCCGCTATCGCGAGGTGACGGAAGTGAGTCGGAGGAGAATGTAGGCGATGAAGACAATTCTGGAGAGTCTTCAGCGGGCATCGTTTGAACGGATCTTTTAAGTCCGACGTTTCTTGGCGTTATTCTTCTTGTCGCGCGAGACTGATGGATCGTTTACGTAGACGCATGTCTTGCCGCGAGAAACACACTTTGAGCATGGATTCTCGAGGTTACACTTGATTTTTGAGTCTGCGCAGGCCTAAAACGTACTGAGATAAGCAGGAAAGGATCAAGATACAACGAGACAAACCTGGCAAGACTTTCGTCGAGACCGATGAGCAATGGTCCTATGAGATCACCTGTTAGTCGAGCTTCTAGCCTTCGGAGACTGATCACTCACGGGTCGCCACACGTCCTCTTGTGCCTAGTCAGAAGATCGCTTCTGGTGAACTCGGCCCGGCACATCTGCAGTTCGAGTCAGTATCATGAACGCCTAAGCTCCGAAGAATGCTGACCTCGCACCGATGTGCACGTTCATTAGTGTCTGTTCGTGAGATGTCTGTCAACCTCGGACCGTCCTAGTACTGTGAAGACTCACGGGAACGGAAGTGTCTGTGCAAGTGCGTCGTTCTTGTGAACTTGGCGGGACAAAGAGGGCAGTATTTAGTCTGGGGTAATGTCGGGGCGTTCCCTCGATGAGAACGTATACGCGAGAGATCTCCATCTGGTTTGAGTTCAACGACCGACTCCATGATCTGAAATGTAGGTGATTCGAGAGGCGAAGGTGGAGGGGACATGGATGCAAAGAAGCAAGGAAAAGGAATAGAAGGGAAGGTCAAGTTAAAGGCGAGGTGCTCCGCCATTCATGGACGCTCTAATCCGTTGAATCAGCATTGATGCATGGCATTTTAAGGATCGATCACGATCTTCAACTCTAGATCGAGTCGCTTACGTTGTCAGGTAGGGTGAGAACGACGAAGGATCCAATTTGCTACTGTATTTGATGCCCGATGGAAATAGACACGATCAAGCATGCATAGGCGAGAAGGAACACAGCGACCGTCTATATCCGGGTGAATGGGGTGAAAAAAAATCAGGTACCAACGCGCTGCAATCGTAAAGGACATCACTGATCAAAACCCGGGAACGCCAAGTGAACCAGCCCGCCCGAAGATAAGTTGTCAACCATCGACGAGATGCTGCAATACTGCCAAAGTATTGATAAATAACATCTGTGAGTTGCAGGGTTCGTTCATGTTGACCGGCTGTTTCTATATAAAATTTGGTTAGAATCGGACCGTGTGTATAAACAAGAGACCATACGTATTTGTCCTCAGTTGCGTAGACCATCAAGTTGTGAATTGATTTGCGTCGGAATCATGCGTTGCCGATCCTGTGTCACTGCGCCATTGCCTCTCGTAGCGTCGGGTGAGGAGGTACTTTAGCAGTAAATTAACTGTCAAAGCATGTTTGATAGGTTTCAGGGTTCCAGAGGTAAAGATCTCGCTCACGAAAGACCGTGTAGGCGATAGTACTAAGACGAATAAGCTGATTGTAGTCAGAGCACGCCTAATAATAGTAGATGCGGCTCAGTCTACCCGAAGCTGAGGCAATCCTTTTATTTGGGTGCCTTTTCCTCCGTTCAGGTATCCTTGGCGCAGCGAACTACAGGAGCCCACTCTGATGTCCACGCTCATGATAACGGGCGTTGCTATCGTCGCAAAGAATGTCGAGGTGACATCATCCGTTATGAATCTCGACGGACGTAACGGAGAGAGGTTCCGCATTAGGATTGCCTTGTTGTAAAGGTGAATAGGTAGTTTAAAATTCACGAGACACAGCTTGCCTTGAAGATTGGATTTCCTAGATGGTATTCTGAAGCATCTTCTGACGCGCTCAGTTCCATTCCGAGAGGCGGCTTACTAAACGCCCGTCCTCGACCGTCGGCTGAGCCGCAAGGAATTAATAGCACAGTAAATTTGGCATGGGGAGCA